ATGGGAATTGGGGAAAGAAAAAGAAAAAGAGGGAAAAAGAAAATGGGAGTACGGGCAATGCGTATTTATGTGCCCCGGCTGGCTGTCTTTGGTAGTATCATCTTCCTTTCCTTAGTTTTGGAACTGCCTCCCTACATACCACTGCGACGGCATCAACTGACTGAGATCTGTGTGTGAGAGAGCGAAGGAAAGGAGGAGATGACCCCACAGAGCGGAGTGGAGCGTGTTGGGTTGGTAAGACAAAACAGCGAATACGCTATCGGCTTTTCTTCTGCCTCCCCCACCCTTCTTTCGTTTTTTATTTTTAATTCATCTGTTGCTGCCTAAATGCTTGCATCTCTGCATCTTTAAAATGCCACAAGTTTCTCATGAGCATTTGCTTCGGTACTGACCATTCCCCCGAGGCCTTAAGAAAGTGGGCAAAGAAGCACGGCATATTTCTTCATCCGGATGTCGCTTTCCTTGTTCCCACAAAGACGATGGGGTTTGGCGTATTTGCCCGCAAGCCGTTGTGCGTAGGTTCCGTGATTGTCAGTTGCCCATTTGCAACCTGCATCTCTCCCTATACAGAGCAGACCACCTTCGAGTCGCCGTGTGTGAAGGCCCTTGCGGAAATGCATCTCACAGACAATGTCCTTTTTGTCGTTTTGCGACTTATGGCGGAAGCTGTGCGTCCTTCGTCGCCGTGGATGCCCTGGCTGAGGGCCTGCCCACGCATGCCGGACCATTTTTTTGACACGACTCTAGCCGGGCCTGTGTTCGGTCTGACGGCGGGCGCGGACACCGGAGAGGCGCCGGTGGCGGCTGCCCCGTTGTCATGGACAGGACCCTCACAGCAACTGCGTGAGGTAGACGTGGCGGCACGGTGGGATGCCGCACAGGAGGTAATACGGCGTTATCCGGAGCACTGGCCACAGAAACGCGCGACGTTTGAGCTTTTTTGTGAGTGTCTGGCGCAGGTCTTCTCTCGCAATTTTCACCGCGAGGAGATTGCGGGGCGCGAGGGGCCTTACCTTCTTCCCTGCCTGGACATCATCAACCACTCCGCCACGGCAAACGCGAGGTTTGAGATCCGCGGCGGGGGCCGCAAACACCCCATGGAGTTTTGCGTCGTCGCGGCCCGTGAGCTGTGCCGCGGGGAGCAGGTGTTTTGCTCGTATGGGCGAATTGGCGCGTCCAGGTTCGCGGTGGAGTTTCAGTTTGTCACGGAGTCCATTGCACGGGAAGACATGCTGCGCTTTTCTGTTGACGTCATCGCGGAGATGACGTCAGCCCTCACCTCGCTTGGCGTGGAACCCTCTGCCGCCACCGTGGCGGACTCGGGAGCGATCCGGCGACGCATCGAGTGGCTGCAGCGCCTCGGCATCCTGTGCGACGAAGGGTTTTACGTCTCGCGCCTGCCCCCCGCTGGAGAACTCCGGGGCGACAAGATGCCTGCAGCCGCTGCGAAGGAAATCCAAACCCTATTTAACGTGTTCTACCTCATGACCGTGGGGGCGTCGAAATTTGATAACTTAACCCACGCGATCAACCGTGAGTGGCGGGCGGAGCGGACGCCAGAGCTGGTGGCGCTGGTGTTGAGGGTGCTTGGCATGCGGGCGGAGGCGGCAAATGCGCAGTTGGCCGCCGCGGAACTGCACCTGGCGGAGGCTCCACATCATGCACGCAGAAACTTGCTGCGGCTGTCGTTGAACTCCGAGCTGGAGATGGTTCAACTTCTTCAGAAGTACGTGGGCGAGCCTCACTAGCGTCTACAGCTCTTGCTTGCCTTTTCCTTTTCCTGTGTTCCCAGTGGCAAGCTGCACGCAGTCATGACCTCGAGTAAACAACACCAGAGAGTGGAGGAAGGGGGAAAAAAAAGTAATCTCTAATCATATTTCTTCTTCTTCGCTTCCTGAAAACATGCGATGTGTATGATGCTGGGGCGAAGGAGAACGCGTGGCGCTACCAATTTTTCACCTTCCTCCTGTTACACTTCGCTTCATGAGAGGGGGAGAGGGAGAGGGTGCTAGTTATGTGCTTTTTTCCCCGTCGTTTCTATCTTCTTCTTTTTTTTTTGTTGGTGGCGATGATGCGTGTGCCTGCGCTTCACCCCCCTTCTCCCCGTTATTCTTATTGTCTGCGTGCGAGTGCCAGCCTCCGCCCCCGCCGTTCCTGGCAACGGGCGGTATAGGTTTAGGAATTCGTCTGCACTCAGTCAGGGCCCCCGCGCGCGAGGTTGCTAGCGGGAGTGGCTGGTGCGTGTTTATCTCTAAAGTTCAACAAAACAAAAGTTTGTGTTTTTTTTTTGTGTTTTTTTTTTTTGGGGGGGGGGCTTTACTTTTCCTGAAGTGCGTGTGCATATATATACTGGTGCGCATCTAAGCCCCAATGGGACGGTTGACCATCAAGGTACATGGGTGCCGACTGCTGCACTCGCCCGGCCTCGCCACCTTGAATCCGCGCATACGCGTGGTGGTCGACGGTGTGTACAAGTTCCACACCCGCAGCAAAAACAACACGCGCACCCCGGACTTCAATGAAACCTTCACAGTGGGAAACACCCACCGCCTGGCCATAGTTGAGGTGCAGGCCTACCATTGCGCCTGGACGGGCGGCAGTGCCGAGGACGAGCGTCTTCTTGGTAGCTGTCGTCTTTCGGTAAAAAGGCTGAGGCAGGGCCAAAAACGGACGTCTGAGTATTACTTGGCTGCGGAGGATGGAGCCGGCTTAGCGGGGGCAGTCACCATCACGCTGCTAACTGACATACACAGCAGTGTAGCACTGGCTATGGGCGAGAGCGAGGAGAAGGATTGCGTACAACGACTCCTACACTTTCTGCTGCGCCGCGATAAAAGCCTTTTGGGGGATATTGATTTGATGATGGCGTCTGTAACTGGTCTGCCAGCGACCGCAAAGCTAGTTGCGTCATCTTCCTCATTGAGTGGGACTCTCCTCGAGCAATCAACGCAACTTGATTCTTACGCTACTTTTTTGGATTTGATGAAAAGTTTGTGCTCCAAGTACAACTGTAGCGAGGAACCAAAGTATACTCTCTCCCTTGTTGTCGAGGGTTGCACAGGCCTTGATCGACCCCAGCTGTATTTGCCCTCGTATGCGGTTGTTGCTATTCGCAGTCCACTTCAGGACTTTGCGACGGTGCAGCGACCCTTTACCCCAAACCCGGTTTGGGGTGGAGCAGCTAGCGCGACGCAGTTTGACGTGGTTGACCCTGACACCTTTGCGTTGGACATCATACTATATCAAGTCTCCACAACCTCGGCGTGGGAGGAGGTGGCGCTAGCGCAGGTGTCTGTTTCCACGCTTACATGCAACCGTGCCTCGGCGCGGCAGGTATTTCTCTTCGATCGCAAGTCTTCCTTTGAGCCAGGCGTTAAGGGCATGGTGCACCTTACTCTGCGGCCGCACAACTTTGGTTTGCCGCCGACGATGCAAATGACTGATCACGTCGATCGATTCCATGGGCGGCTAAATCGTTTCTTCTACCGCTATGACCATAAGCGCATCCCGCAGGTGGATGCTCTTCTCCGCTCTCGCCTGGGTGGGCTGGATGAATTAATGAATGAACTGGAAATTGAGTATGGCAGGGAACCAGGCACCATGGAACTAAGTATCTCCGTCTTAGAGGTGAGTTCCCTGCAGCTTGACGCGAGATCAGAGCTGGATGAAGAAGACGTGATGGTTGTGGTCTCGATGGGTGATGAGGTAGTGCGCACAGACCCAAAACGTGTGGTCGTCAACTCTCGAGCGGTATTTGGAGAGACCTTTGTTTTTGATGTTGCGCGGGAAACTGACATGATCAAGCTGGAGGTGGTGCGGGCAGGCCGCGAAAATACTGTGTATGGTCGCATTGATTTCTCTTGTCTGTGGATGCAGCGTGGTGTTTGTAACAACCGCACACTATATTTGGTTGGGGCCGCTGGTACAAATGAGGCCTACCTTAGCGGCTTGATTACTGTCTCACTCTACAGCGAGCAGTTGGGACAGGCGTACTCTGTGGACATGGATGCAGCACACATGTACGCTGGACGCCTTCGAAGGTACCTGCATGTGCGAGCCCCAGAGAAACTGCACCTTGTGGACATCGCCGTTGACACGGTGTTTGACATTGAAGGTTTCCTGCGCGACCTCGCCAAGGAGTACGGCGAGGAGGATGCATCGTATGCAGTGTACTGCTCAATCCTGGGCTGTCGTCAACTCTCAAACCGATTTGGATTTAGGATGAAAGCATATGCCGTGGTGCGTATGGGGATTAGACGATATGAGACGCATGTGGTGAAGAATAGCACGGAGCCGGACTTCTTTGAGTTCTTTGAGTTTGTCGTCGATCGACCTCACGAGATGAGCATCGCGATTGTCGTGATGGACCGCTACGACCTCGGGGATGACAGGGAGGTGGGGCACGTGACCATTTCCCTCAGCGCGGTGGAGCTGGAGCACCAGTACCACCAATGGCTGCCGCTGCAGAAGCCGGACAACAGCGGGGTTGCCGGAGTTGTTGGTGTAAAGTACACCGTGAAGGATTTGCACCTGCGCGACAGAGGCCACAGCACCGCGGCGCACAAAACGTCATCTGGGTCTCGTTTCCACCATCGACTACATTCGCAGAACATCTTTACTTCATATGCAGACAGAGCTGGACGTCACGGGAACATTCTCTCCCGCCTTGGATTTTGGCGCAATAAATTTGTACGTGCGGCGGCGGCACGTATTGTCCCACGTGAGAGAATTTCGAACGCGACCTCCCTTACAGGTAGCGAGAATGGCTCAGGGATGAGCAGCGAACAGGAATCCTCCGTTCAGGCGAGTCTGAACATCATCGACGAGGGTATTCACTCCGTAAATGAATTCTGTTCCGCGTCAAGGACGGATTCCTCGCCAAGGCCTGCTTTGGCGCAGCAAAAGGAAGTGGAATTGACGGAGGCGAGCTCGCCACTTCAAACGCTGAGGCCCTCGTTACATACTCAGATGCGGCTGCACGTACGGGTGTTGTACTGTGACGACCTGGAAGACAAACGGTGCGTTCCGCCGAGCCCGTACGTGATGCTTTCGACACTCGAAAAGACACACTGTACGAAAACCGCCTTCCTCACACGGTCGCCAAGGTACAATGAGACGCTTGTTTTCCCTATTACTGACCCTGTCCGAGACTACCTCAGCATCACCGTCATCACGGACACCTTTTACGGAAAGAAATGTTTGGGTCACTGCTTGCTTTCCATGAAAAATGTACAAAACAGGACGCCGCGAACGCGGCGGGTGCCATTGGTGGTGATGCCGCATCGATCTCTGGCAACGGAGCGGGGCACTATTTGTCTCACACTGCTTGGGGAAAATTTTGGTCTGGACCACATGCCCTCCGTTGATGCTGAAAATCGGTTTAGCTGTTTGCTGCGTAAAATTCTTGCGACCGAGGCTCCGCAGCAGCTGCACCGCCTTGAGTGGTACATTGGCGAGTACTCTCTGCGGGAGAATGAGTTGCTGGGAAAGATATTTACCATGCGCAACACAACGGATGAGGAGGAGGTCGCGGCCAACGTCAAGCTTACTGTGAAGAATGTGACACAATTGTACTTGCATGACCGGCTTGTTGCCTCCGGCGCGTGCTTTGTGAAGGTAAAGGTTGGGCGAAAGACGCTCCACTGCACCAAGGCCGTGTTGGGGGCGAATGGGTCTTTCGCCATTGAGGAGGAGTGTTGCTTGACGATTTTGCATCCGACGAAGCAGACGCTGCGAATAATTGTCAAGGCCGAGACCGATTGGAAGCACAACTGTGGCGAATGTGAGTTGTCTCTGTTGGACTTGCACCGGAATGTGGTGCAGGAGCGAACACATTTTGTCGTTAAAAATGCAGGTTTTCCCACGGCGACTCCCGTTGGTTACATCACTATTTCGCTCCTCAGTGACAATTTTGGTAGCCCGGTCTCGCCAATGGACAGAAGCGACGAGAGTCAGTACGTGCGTTTGCGGGACTACTACTATTACTATCTTCGGGAACAGCTGCATACGGTGGACGTGAAGTACAGCGGAACCTTTAACGTGGAGGCGTATTTTCAACGACTCACGGAGAAGTATGGTAAAGAACCAGGCAGCTATCATCTTCAAATAGAGGTGATTCGCTGCCGATCCCCTGCTTTTAAGAGTGGCTCAATGTATTGCGTTATTCAGGTTGGTCTCATGCAGTTCAGGACGAGCATTGTCCAGGGAAGTGGGGAGTATGTGTTTCTAGAAACCTTTGATGTTCGCATTGGTCTGCCGGAGAGGGAGGAGGTGAAGTTGATCTTGAAGATGGTGGGCGAGAGAGATGCGGCGGGAGTCGAGGTGGGGATAACGGTCCTCCCACTCTGCGGCATTATGCGGGGGAAGGAGACGCAGCTCAAGCTCCCACTGGTCTACAAGGCTCAGACGCGAGGTGCCTCGTCTATTGGCGCAATTGAGGTTTCACTTTTTACCCGCGACTTCGGCGTTCTCGCGGAGCAGCCGAAAGGTTTCGTGGAGAACAACACCTACCAACGTCTGGAACGCGAGATTCTGCGTCACCACCCAAAGGAGATGCATCGGCTACCCTCGATTGTCGCGGTGGCGCATGAACAGAATGAACGTTTGCAACATTCAACAATGTCAATTGCGTCTCAGTGCGCTGTGGCCTCGACTAGCTCAGATATTTGCGTTCGGTTTCTTAGCTTTCACGATTTTCCCAAGGACGAGGCGTACATGAAGGTTAAGTTAGTCAGTGGGAAGACACTTCTTCGCACGAGTGTCCTTGCTGGGGAGCAATTGTCAAGTATCAATAAGGAATTCACTATTGATGCTTCTGTAGATATTGAGGATGCAATTATTACTTTGAAGTTGGCAGAGGTGAGGCTGCTGAAGTCGTGTGTAATATGCTACTGTGACTTTATGATTGCGCAGTGCCCTAGTGGCGGGGTGCTGAGGAAGTGGCTTCGCCTATTTGATGCAAAAGGAAAACCATTGGGTAAGTTGAGCATACAGATTGAGGTCCCTGTCTCCTTTAAACGACGTTCTCCAGTGCGTACTGACCCAGTTTCGGACCAGACTGAGGCTGTCGTTGATGACGTCTCTTCCTTGTTACTGAAGTACAGCCCAAAGGACCTGCGAAAGTTGGATGTCTTGCTGGATCGCGCGGACGATCTTCGTACCATTCACCGCCAGCTCCGGCAGCTGTTCGCGCCTCGGGTGCAGGCAACCGTGTACTGCGAGGTGCGCCGGACAGAGTTGTTGAATCCCGTGAAGGGGCGTCTCACAGTGGAGACTGTTGTGAAGGAGGATGTTGTGCGTGTCGTAGAGCGGAAGCTTGTGATGCGTGTGGCCTCGGATACAAATTCCGGCGCGGATCGGGTGTTTGATTACCCCTCCTTGCGTATTGACATCACATCGTGTGATGTGTTGCTTTTCCGCCTTTTTGGCGAAGGCGGAGGTGACGGGGAAGGGGAACTGTGCTGCGCCGCCCTCTCCCTCCGTGCGCTGCTTACCCCAGAGCTGTACGACATGGGCGAGGCGATCACTGTGACGCTGGTGAAGGTACAACGGCAGCGCAACAAGGTGCACGCATCTCTGGCCGGTACTCTGACCTTTTCCCTTAAGGCTCCTGCGTTTGAACATTATCCAAGGACGGTGCTTCTCTTCCACGGTGAATCTCCAAATGTAAATCGTGCCTTTGTTCGGTATTATTTTGATCGAATCTGCTCTCTACTTACGCATTATGACGCTAATTCGCTGGTGGATATTCACCAAGTCGTCTATGAGATGCATGTTGCAAGACGCGCATGGGAGGTGGAGTTGCCTAACCTCCTTTTCTCATTGATCGAGCGGTGGGGCCCTGAGGTGGATTCATTCCCACCCCCGCCGTCCCTGACAGTGTAGGGATGCTCACAAATTCGTCTTTTTTTTTGGTTACTTTGTCCTTTTCCCCCTTTTTTTTCCTTCATCTCTGAGCCTTGCCTCTTGCGGTTGTGCTTCTCCGTGCCTTTCAATGCGTACCTGTTTTTTTTTCTTGTGTATATATGTGTGGATGTGTGTCTGTAGACGCCATGGATTTGGGGACGTACTGTCGCTCGGGGCTAATTTTTTTTTGTTGTTGTTGTATGTGTGTGTGTGTCTTGACGGTATTTTGCCTTTTTTTTTAGGCTTGTATTTGATGTTGTGTGCCGTTTGCTAATTTTTTTTTTCTCATGGCCTTCGTCCTTTTGCTCCTTCTCCCTCCCCACACCGCACCGTTGGTGCCTTTGCGCCTGACGGACTGACGTGTGGCGGGGCGCACAGACGCGGCAGCACGCGCTCGTCGACCACTGCTCTGGCCTTTTCTTTTTCCCTTTTTCTCCCCTCCCACCCGCGGCGGGGCCGGCAAGTGCTGGGTTGAAGCGGCGGAACAATAGCACTAGCACCACCACGGAGGGGGACACGGAGGCAAGCGGAGCACAGTCACTCCCCCCAAGCAAAAAAAAAAAGAAACGGGCGGAGCGGGCGGCTTTAGTGTGTGGGGTGGCGGGGCGTGTTTCGCTGCGTCCTTTGGGTTCCTCCACCGTGACGCGTGCGCGCCGTTGGGCGACATCGTTGTGATTTGCTTTCTGGGGAAGTAAAGAAAAGAGCGAAGGGAGCTGCCCCGTGGCAGGGGCACACTGGCAGACAAACAGTGAAAGGGAGGCAAAAACAGAAAAAAACGGCAACAGCGGCAAGGCGGGCCTTCAAAGAGACGACAGCTAGGGAGCGAGGAAAAAAGAGGAAAAACGAAAAAGTAACGAAAGAAAAAACAAAAACAAAAACGTTTGCGTTGCCCCACGGGCTAGATGAACACTAAAAATAACATCACGGGCTATTGCTCGAGAAGTTCATCTTCGTCGTGGCAAGGCTCGACGCGGAGGTCAGGGCGCTCGGATCGCTCACTGCGTGCCTCCCCAGGGCGGAGCGGCGGTCTCTCCGGTAGCCGATCGCCTCACCGTAACCGTCGCCAGGGCAATGGCCACCGCAACAATGACCCCTTTCATTACAACGACACGCTGCCCCCAAATGCCGTGGGGAGCTCACGCCGGCCTCAGCCGATGTCTGAGGATGACGAGTACCACTCCTCTAATGAGGCTCCGTTGGAGTCGAACTACAGCCACTCCAACGACAGGCGCACGATGAAATTGCGAGTGCGTATTGAGGGTGCCAAGGACCTGGTTCCGGATTCCCGCATGACGCAAAGCCCACCATCGACGTTTGTTACGGTGCAAACGATGTACGGTCGAGGGAAAACACCTATTATATACAGCAATGCCAATCCCCCGTTCAACGATGAGTTTATCTTCGAGGTGAGAAACCCTGACACGGAGGAAATTACAGTCACTGTGGTTGCCGCTACGGGCGCGGGACGAAAAAAATTAGGTCAGTGCGCGCTGGCGGTGGAGAATCTCATGCGGGGAATGGAGCGACGTCAGTGGGTAGCGCTGGTGCGTCACCCGGGCACCGAACGCGCATACGAGTGTGGCATGATATTGGTCTCCCTCTACTCAGAGAGCTTTGGAACGAGCATTTATTCCTCCCCGCTCAAGGAGAAGGAGTTTCGTGACAACCTTCGCGCGCTGCTTAGAAGAGATGCCCCTGAAGAGCTACACCGTCTTGAATGGTACGTCGGCAAGTGTGTAGAAGACTATGATGGGGCCTATGCGGCGCTCTTTGAGAAGTACCACAAACCGCATTCTGAGCCTGCGGCGTTTCAGCTCACCATCAACTCTGTTGCCAATTTGACGATGGAGAATGGATCCCCCACCACACGTGAGACGTGTTATGTAAAGGTGACTTCAAGTCGTTCAAAGAAGGTTACCAAAATGGTGCCATACCACAGGCGAGCATTTTTCAATGAGACCTTTGATATGGTGCTAGACAACCCTAAAACCGATTCCATTTCTCTTGCCGTGTACTCTGCCAACCACAAATTTGGCGAGTGTCTTGTATCATTGAATGGCTTACGCCCGCGGGTACCAAAGGAGCGCACACACGACATTGTATACGCGGCGGGGACCGGGGATGCATGCTACTGCGGCACCATTACAATTGTTCTGCGTCCTATTAATTACGGCACGGATTCACCTGTGAACGACGTGGAGGACAAGCGGAGACGCACTCGTCTAAGGAACTACTTGTGGAAGTACCTTCGCGACGACTTGCACCGCCTTGACCCCATTGTGGCATCTATCGACAATATGGATGCGTTCATGCAGACGCTGGTGCGCGAGTATGGGCCTGAGCCCCATCCACACATGATGCGACTGCGCATTCAACACTTTCGTCGTGATATCAAGGAGGAGCAATTCAAAACATATGCCGTGGTTGTTCGCATGGGGCCTGAAATTCACCAAACAGCCGGGGTGCACTTCGCACAAGATTTTATCTTTAATGATGAGACGATGCTTCCCGTCTCCACAGCCGAAAAAGGGGAACTTCTTTTTATGGTGATTGACGAGGCAGACAACAACGATGTAGAAATTGGGCGGGTCGTCATGTCTCTCAAGAATGTCGTTCGGGAGACGGTCTTTCAGCTTCCGCTGCAAGTTTATCAAGATGCCTTAACGACAGATGCCAAGGTGGTGGGAACACTTTTTATTGAGGGAATTCTTCACGGATATGGCTTGAAGGAGGAGGTGGTCCCCCTGAGTAAGCAAAAATACTTCCGTCAGCGCGTGCAGGCACTTTTGTCTCGCTACGACCCGGCTCAACTGCATCGTGTGGAGTACCTTCTTGGAGAGAACGTGCAGCAAGAGGAGAGGCTTATCAAGGAACTGACGGACACGTACGGTCCGGAAACAGGGTCTACGCCCATGCGAATTCGAATTGTGAGCATACGCGATTTTATTCCCGTGTGCCAGTGCTACGTCAAGGTGTACTTGGACGATGCCTCGGTACTACGCACCAAAGACCATTATGCGGCCAAACTGTTGATGTTTGACATTGGCATGAAAAACGAGAAGATGGTGTCTATTTCAAACCCGCTGCATTCCATGCTGCGATTTAAGGTGTGCGAGCCTCGACGATTGCGCTCATCGCGTTTATTAGGGGTTGCTGAGATGAGCCTTCGCAACATGGTGCGCGACGAGCCCAACTTCTGCTCACTGCCCATCATTGATGAGGAGAGAAATGAGGAGATTGGCGTATTAGGAGTAGAAGTACAGTCCCCGGGGTTTGTCAAGGGTACTGTGACGATGTATGAGGGGCCAAACAATGGCACGGCGGGGGGGGCGCTGGAGGAAGTTACAAGAGATGTTACCTCATTGATGAAGAAGTATCGCCCACAGGAAGTTCTCCATGTACAGCCCTTGATAGCACAATTCCCCTCATTGAGGGAGGCTCATCGAGAGCTACGGAAAAGGTTCGCCCCCGATTTGGTTGAATTTACGCTTTATCTGCATGTTGACAAAATTACTATGATTCAGGAGTCGGACAAAAATGCGCTGGAAAACGGCAACATCTCCCTCTCTGCGTCCTTTTTAAAAGAGGAGGTGCGATCGCGACTGAAGGTGGCCTGGGCGGATCGAATTGACACGTGTAAATACTTTCCAGAAATGCGCCTGGACATTGCCTTTCCACGGGGCTCTGAATCCTCACCAAGTGCGTACCCACTTGAAATTGCTATTTATGGGACATCCATGCCAGCTGCCCAGGCGTCCGCGGTGTTGGCCAAGCGGAATACCATCAGCAACCGCCTTATTTTGCCAGAAAAGGAGTTGGCTCGTGTTGCCTTGTCTCTTCGAGCTCTCTTAACCAAACGGGTGTACCGACTCGGTGAGGCAGTGACGGTGCCTCTTGTTCGTTCCTACCGCCATACTGCGATGGCAAGTGGCCCCTTGGGTGCTGGGGGCGTGGAGCCTCCCCTCATCATGGGCGAGATGACGCTGCGCATTACCACTCCCGCCTTTGAGAAGATTCCACGTAGACTGCGATTTAGCCAAACAGCGATGCGCCGCTATCATCGTGGGTACGTCCGCTACTACGAAAAACGGATCTCTTCTTTCTATCGAGCCTACGACCCCTCCTCTTTGCTTGACTTTCACTTTAGGTTGTATGAACGCGATGTGGCGTCCGCCCGCTGGCCTCTCTCGCTCTATGACTGGTTGATGGCGCTCATAAAACGATACGGGCCGGAGCCGACCATAAACTTTGGGCCTCCGCCAAAGCTTCCATTTGACCCCGAAGCGGAGGAGGAGGAGCGGCGTCGGGAGGGTGGTAGGTCCACCAATTTCTCACTCACCGATCGGGAAGGGAGGAGGACGCCGTCGAGGAACCACTCACGCTCGCGTGGGCTTCGCGAGAGCCCTCATCGTTCACTGTAAAGGTTAGGAAAAAAACAACAACAACACCGCTCTACCGCTGCGAAACGCAAGCGTATGTCTATATGTATGTACGGGGGGAGGGTGGGTTTAAGGACCACCAATGGGAACCCTCCTCCCCCCGAAGGAAAAAGAAGGAAAAAAAAGAAGAAAAAAGAACAAAGAAAGGGAGGCGGGGGGATAAAATGAATTTAAAAAAGGCGCACCGTGCGAGCGAGAACATGTGAAACCTGTTTGGCTTTTGGGATCGTAGACTGGCCTTTCAGGTTCTAACCAGCCATTTGTGAAGGCAAAGGGCGAAACCCACATACACGCCATTAACGTACATGCTGGCCGTTCAAGTGAGGAGAATCATTCCATTTTTCAAGCTTCTTTTATCCTCTCCGTGCATTCAAGCCGAATGCAATACAATGTTTGTATCATGCGGAAAATTTCTTTGCGAATCCCTGTACGTTCCCGTTCCCTCCTTTTATTGCGCATCGATGCAGTGGAGTTGACGACTTGGTGGGGAGAGGTATGACTTTAAGACATGATATAGAGGGAAAGAAAGAAAGAGGGTAAAACTACGTGGTAGGAGGATCAGGAGCAGTTCTTATGTAGGTATATATATATATGTGTGTGTGTGGGTGTTCCCTACGCTCTGAAGGGTAGATGTATGTGCGCATGTAATTAAACAGTTCAAAAGTCTTTTTTCAAGTGTGTATATGCACGATTGCTGCTTCAATATACTCCAGTTTTGGAGCAGCAAACGTGTTAGGAGCGCAGGAAGGAGCAGCCGATGGAGACCATCTTGGTTTACAATTGACAGCAGCAACAGCAAACACCCCATGCCCACCTACTCACTATATATACATACATAAGTACATGTATGTGGGAAATCCCCCTTATGCCTACTTCGTTGCTGTCTATGTAATTTTCTAGGAGCATTTTATTCTTGAGTCTTTATTACTGTGTTTTTATGTCGTTTTTATTCATTTTCCGTTTGCTCTGGCTGCTGATCTCTTCTTCCACGCACACAAGCGCACAGCCACGCCTCTTTTTTTTTTTTGGTCGTGTTTACCCTACTTGCTTTTTTGCTTCTCTTGCCGCTTGTATCAGTTTTCCGCTTGGCTGGGTGTTGAATGGTAGAAGAGAGAAGCACTTCTGGGCTACACTGACTGTTCCGTGCGTCTGTGTGCATTCCTTTTTTTTTTCGTTTCGTTTCGTTTCGTTTTTTGTACTTCTCGGGGCGGACGCCCCACTTTTTTACCATTCCATTTTTTTGTGAGTTGCGAACCTCGCCGCGTAGAAGTGGCATTGCTGCAGCGTCGAGGGTGGGAGCGCGCGAAGGGAACGAGATGCAGCGGGGAAGCCGCGGAGGCGCGGAAGGGGAGAAAGAGAGAGAGAGAGAGGCGGAAGGACGGGGACTGGGCTTAAAAGGCGGTTGTGGTGGTGGGAGGGGGAAAAAAGAAGAAGAAACTCAATTTGGTTGGGGTGATTATTAGCGCTGGGGGGCAGAAGGGGTGTGTGGAGACTTCTTCTGGGGTGTCGTATTCTTCCCGCCGCATCGAGTCCCCTCCTCACCTTTTTTTTCACCCCTCTCCCTTCTTTTGTCTTGTTCTCGGTTCCTTGCTCGTGGTTTATTACGACTCTCCTTCACTTTGCTTGGCTCCAACTGGCCGGAGGAGACGGCGAAAGAAAAAAAAGTGACGGCGGTGTTTGAACTACTTCTTCTCCCTTCTTGGCTCTGTGGCCCGTTCCATCAGGCCCACTTCGGCAGGATTTGTTGAAGTGCCGCCGTATGTCTCTTTGCCATGCCAGTGTTCGGTTCCCTTTTGCTCTTCTCCGTGCCAGTGTGGGTGGGCACGGGTTTCGTTCCTTTGCCGCTTTGGCCATTTCCTCACTTTTTTTCTATCCTTTCCTTTTGCTGTGCACATGTGTTTCCCCTCCCCGGCACACATGTGGGTGTGCCCCCACAACGGATGTCAGAGGGGGCAATGCTAGACGTAGTGAATGGGGAATTGGGTGCCGGGGGCAACAACTCGCCCGTCTCCCTCAACCCAAAGCTGGTGACACACAAGGAGAACGTCGCAGACGTCGCTGAGGATGAACCACGGAGCGTGTCAGCCCCATTTGCACCGACGCCAAGAGAGTCCATACACCGCGGGCAAATACAGAGTGAGAGAAGGAAGTCGGGCGTTGTCGCGTCTTTAGGAGGCATGGGGCGATCGCGAAGTAGGACTGCTTCTGTGCCCGCTGGGGCTCGCCCTAGTTTATCGTCTTCTAACCCGTTTGCGCAGCGCTACAGTCATGTCCATTCGGTTGTGAAGGACCTCATTGAGGAAAAGATTACCCCGCTAGAGGCGCAGCATGGAAGACCCATAGAAAGGCAGCGTTTACAGAGCATCGCGCCTGCCTCCACTCCCCAGTTTTCGTGTATTCCTGGGAGTTTTTATAGCACGCTTCATGGCGGTAGCGGGCTCGTGACGCCGCGCAGATCCTCCGCGTGCAGCCTGCAGAGGTCAAGCCAAAACATGTCTAGAAACTCCCCGTCATTCCGCAGTTCACCCCGCAGAGTTCTGCGGCGCGGGGCTAGTGGAACCCCCAGGGCATCTTCGGTGCGACGTGAGCAAAGCCCTGAGGGGATCAAGGTAGAGCCGTTGCCCAAGCAGAAGGCTTCGGAGCACGCGTACGTTTTGAAAGTTGTGGATAAGCTTAGTAGTGCAAGGGTTCCCTACAATTACGTGCCACGGTGTGCGCAGAAAATCCCTGAGCGCCTCAAGTACCACCCACCACCGTCACCGCCCGACACGCCTTCTCCTCCGGGCAGTGCCGAGATGGAGCGGGAGATCTCGCCACGTAGAGGCAAAACTGTCACACCCGCGGCGGCGAAAAGGAGCAGCTCACGGCGTACGCCATCGGCCGGTGGTACGCCCCGCAACGAGGTGGCCAGCAAGGGAACTCGTGGCGTTGATCGCAGCAAGTCCCATGCCGTGTCGGATGGGGCCCCCTCATTGACTGTATCCGCTTCTCCAGCAGGCAGACACGAGGTGCTAACAGACGAGGCGAGAACACGTTCTGCTAGCTCCACTCGTCGCTTGCTGGAAGCTAAAATAAGGAAGTTCGAGGCTGTAAACAGGAAAAAAATAATTGATCGAAAACCGCTTCTTGGGCTTGAACGGGTGTTGCTTTTCGATACTGAACCGCCGCGTTTGCTAAAATAGGCGAGCAGTTTTCTTGCCTTGGATTCAATCTTGAAGAAAATGGGGGCCTGGGATATATATATATATATATATATATATACATACTGACAGCATCATCTGTAGGTGAGGCAACAATTGAACCTGCTGCGTGGGCATACACGAAAAAAAAAACGAGTTGCTTTTAGCTACATCTTGCTGACGTTTCTCATTATTGCTATTATGATTGCATCTCCTCCCTCCCTTGTCTTCTGCTTCGAAGTGGCCTGTTGCCACTGCTTCGTGGGCCATAGATAAAAGACCGGGGCATTAAGAGTGCCGCCCACCAGGTGGATGTGGAGCGGCCTCCAGTTGGAAGGACCCCTTCACACATTTACAGCAACGGTCGCTCCGGCGGGGCGGTCAGAGCCAGGCTCACCTTTCCTCACCCCTCCGTTGCGAGGCGCCAGCGCCTGCGAGGAAAAAGTTGCTGCTCGTCCTAGCGGGGGTGCGGGTTTACACCACGCTCGTTTAGGCGAGGGGCGCAGGACACGCCCGGCGGTCCAGCCCTTCACCTTTCCCGTCTCCGCCATGAGGGACGGGGAAGAGGAGGAGGAACTGCTTATGCACCCGGGGCCTTTCTTCAGCGAGGGAGGCAGATTGACGGAGGAGCGAGAGGTTGCTCTCTGGCGGCCACAGGGCGACTCCCAGTGGCTAAATGAGGAAAGCGACTGTAGCCAACGCAGCGCAATGAGCTGTAGAAGTCGAACGACAAACGCAGTTCTGCAGCTCGGCGATCCTGGCGCACCAACCAAGCAGCGGTGTGGGAAAAAGTACCTTTGCAGCGATGCCGATGAAACTCCCATCAGCAACAGCAGACCAGCACTCTACCATAACCTTGATTTTTTACGTGACGGCAGCAGTGTTTCATTCCCATGTGAATCCTCAGCTCCCTCCCATATTACGCCCCTTGAAGAGGCGGGGGAGTCTGTTGACCTCGCCAATCATTTGTCGCACTTGGTTGTGGCCGTGTCGCCAATCCAGAAGCGGCTGCTCTTTACGGGCGCCCTAGACGATGCGGTCGAAGTCCCTCCTGTAAACGAGGAGGCCAAAGGCGTCGGTCGCGGGATGCGGTTGCTCCGTCGAGGAAAGCGGTTTCTTGAGGAACTAGATGCGAACCGCGATGCCGCCAACTCGGACTCGACGTCGCGTGCAATGACACGCGAGTCCCACCGAAAGTTCCGGCGCATAGATGTAGGTGGGGGTGAGGGCGCGGGCTTTGGCGGCCGCTTTTACAGCCGCTGCCAGCAAGAACGTTGACGACGGGGTGCTGCAAGTGTGTTGCTGCCTCAATGGAAATACCCGAGGCGGAGGCACGCATCATACTGCTGTGGCCTTGCGTGAAGGGAACCGTAACAAAAAAAAACGCCTACACACAATAAGGAAAATAAGATAATGAGATAATGGAACAAAAAAAAAACTGCGATGATACCCGAGTATTCACGTCTGTCGGGGGGAAGCAGACCAATACATTTTGAATCCTTTTGTCTATTATCAGTTATTTTCCCTTCACACCCTTGTTTGTAGGGTTAGATGCACTCAATAGATATATTTATTCATTCCACGTGTACACACACGCACACACACACGCACACGCACAAATGTATAATTTTTTAATGGTTTTTGTGCAGTTGTATCACCAGCGTGTCCTACTACGCCTTTTTCTTTTTGTTATGCTGTGGTCCTCTTGACCATTTTTTCTCCTTGCGGATGTAGAACTCCAGTTTCAACACGCTGGGCTTAAGCTGAGGTGTGTATGTGTGTGTGTGTGTGTCTGCCCAACAGCGTGTTTCAAGCCTCTGTCAGTGCAATCTTTTCGGTTTACCTCTGGAGGAGTTGAGGAGGAGGGGACTGCCTTCTTTTTTATTTTTTTACTCGGCCGTTGAGCTCTGCACTGCGATGTGCCGGTGCTTCTACCCTTGCAATGCTTAGAGCCGGACAATATTTGCTCTCTCTCTCTCTCTCTC